ATAATCATACATGTAGTATATTTGCTAATTTTTTTTTGTTATTTAGGCCCGAAGGCCAGGAAGAGAATCGTAACCACAGTTCCCCATTTAGGTACAGTGGTGAGCCGTACCATCCAGATTCCTCTCTCTACCACTCCTATGGGTAGCAGATTTGAGTCGTCGCCGACACGGACAGAATGTCCGTGCCCATACGCTCAAACGGTCCGACACCAAGCCCCTCTGTCTAGTAGATGTTCCAGGTAGTGGGGTATCCCCTAAACTCTCCCTTGTACCCGTCGGAAGGAGTCTAAAGCCACTGCTCATGCCACTAGGCGCCAGCTTCGGATGCATTATACTAGGACTTGTAGTCCTTTATGGCTCCTACTTCCTGTAGGCTTTCTACAGGTGTCATCATAGCCATACCGTAGACCCCACCAACGCGCCCTAGATGCAACGTTTGGAGTATACGGTAGTTAGGGTAATAGCTACAACCGGACTCGAAAGCCCTGGAAAAGCTATACCCGTAACCTTGTCTCTCCACCCAAGAGACAGTATATTACATCCGGTGGCGGTGGCAACAGCCTCACTCCCGGTCGGTTCGCCTTTAGCAAAAGTTCTTGCTAAGAGACTTTCAGCCATTATCAGGCTGATTGGGGCCTCACGGAATCCATCGTGAAGCCCAATCCAACATTCTTTTTCATTGAAAAGACAATAAGAGTAGTGGTTTCTCATTGGCGCCGAAGCTCCCACTTATCTGTACCTCTTATGTCTTTCTATCAAGTCAAGCTCAACAAGGTCATATTTCCTTGCCAATTCTACCAAGTTTATTAACTTGGCTGTTATTATTGTACTCACCAAGTACAATATTCATACATATAGTATATTTGCCAGTTTTTTTTTTTTTGTTTCGGCCCGAAGGCCGGGAAGAGAATCGCGACCACAGTTCCCCCTTCAGGTACGGCGGTGAACCATACCATCCGGCTTCCTCCCTCTACCACTCCTACGGGTAGCAGATATGAGCCGTCGCCAACACGAACAGCACGTTCGCATCCATACGCTCACACGGTTCGACACCAAGTCCTCCTGTAAAACAGAAGTTCCAGGTAGTGGGGTATCCCCTAAACTCTCCCACATAACGTAACAACAGTCAACTCCTTCAGCTCCCTACTGCCACCTTCCACTCCTATTCACTCCGACGTCCTATCTCCTCGCCATCCTTTCTACTTGCCCACGCCTTCCCCCAAAACTCTCTTCCTCTACTCGCACAGCACCACATCCCCCTCACCACATCCCCCTCACCACATCCACTTCACCACATCCACTTCACCACATCCACTTCACCACATCCCTCTCACCGCATCCCTCTCACCACAGGCTCCTACGCTTACATCTGCCTCTTTTCCTAATAACATTCCTCCCTTCCATCATTCCCACCCACAACCGCCCTCTCCTCTTCGTCGTTTCCACTCTCGGTTGCTGCCATCTGGGCGTCTCGTCGTCTGGTCTTCCGGTCTTCCGGTCTTCCAGTCTTCTGTTCATCCGGCCACAACGCTACTCCTACTTGTCATGGATTAGTTATTACCATGACAGTACTTGTTCGCTATTGGTCTCTTACCAAGCTTTAGTCTTTCTGTTCATACTAGCCGTTATTAGGGGAATCCTTGCTAGTGTCTTTTCTTCCGCTTAACGTTTCGGTCCAGTGGGTATTTCGACCTTATTTCAGGTCGTTTTTTTTTGCTTCTTTTTTTTTGTTTTTCTTTTTTTTTGTTTTTTTTTAATTATGGCTTTTAAGCCAAGGTTCATTATTTCGTGTGAACCGTTTTTAGGTGCGCATATAAAGCTAGCACCGGCGTTTATGGGCGTTGGTGATTTTCATAACGCTTTCTGTTATCAGCAACAATATTATCCTAGCAATGTTTGCTTAAGATGAGTATTTCAGTATTTATATACTGATTCTGTTTGATCCATAACCAAACATACCTGAACGAGCGAGTTGCTTTACGGGTATGCGGCTATGTTCACTTTTAGCTTTGCCAGTCAATTCAGTTCTTCAGTAAGATTTTGGGAGTCTATTGAGACTAGCTTGGCCTTTTAACGATAGGCTATTTTTTAAATCCCAAGGTGCAAGACATATCACAGTTTTTTGTTAGACTACCAGAACAACGTAAACGTTAAACTGTAGATAACATTAGCAATGGCTCTTCCGTAAGATTACGTACAGAAACCTTGCTACATACCTCAATTCCCAGTACGAAATAGTTTTAAAAGAGTACCCAAGCTTATTAGCCATGGTTATATACTCATTAACTATGTCAGTGTAGCGCATGTGCGGCCCAGAACATCTAAGGGCATGATAGACCTGTTATTGCCCAACATCACCCTGCTTAGCGCAGGCAGTATATTTAGGAAGACAGAAAAGCCGAAGCTTGACCCAACTGAAAAGGTGATTTTTCAATCCTTTTAATGTGTGTACCAGCTGAGTTCCCCCGTGTTGAATCAAATTAAGCCGTAGGCTCCGCTCCTGCTGGTGCCCTTCCGTCAGTTCTTTTAGATTTCATCCTTCATTTTCGGGACCAGACCCTGATTCCCTGCTACCCATGGTAGACAACGCAAGCCTCTATCTTACAGTCTTAATCTGATAGGGCAGAAAATATAATAAACCATCGCCAGCACAAGGCCATGCGATCACCATTGAATTATTATAAATCACGAAAAAAATGGCCTTCACATCAAGCTGGCTTTTACCCAATAAGGGTACCCCTTCCAAAGTCGAGGTTTTCGTTGCATGTATTAGCTCCGAAATTACCACGGTTATACAAGTAGTAATTACTTATAATGTTCATCATAACTGATTTAATGAACCTTTATTTCCCTGATCCAAATCCAATAAATTGAATCTGTAGATTATTAGCAGTACAAAGACTACCGCCCAGCAGATCGTCCCGAAAATTTACCGAAGCAAAAGTATACGGTTTGAAATATGCGCCGGGAGACCAGTAGATGTTTTTATTAAAGAATAAAATCTCTGCTGATCCGAGCAAAAGAGGCGCCAGGTAAAATCGGGAAAGATATACCCCACGCATAGTACTCTCTGAGAAAAGATTTTTGAAAAAACTCCAAAATTAATTGTTGTTAAGATTTCAATCATCTTCTCTCATACATATCATAGGGGGGTCATTAGTAGTCTCGCCAAAGGTTAAAAACGTTTATTTACACTTTTCAACTTTTTTTTCTGGGATTGAATAATTAAGAGTGAAATTAAAATATAAATTCAATTTGTTCCAAATAAGGAAACGAATTGGTCCAAACGGTTCGCCCTCAGACCGGTTAATACAAGTTTAGATTAAATCTTAACCGGTTGTTACCAGTTGGCTTAAATTTTCACCTGAATCTATCCATTTGGCTCTAATGCTCACCGGAATCTATCCATTTAGCTTACATGTTAACCGGAACCAATTTGTTTAGCTAAAATGTTAACCGGTTGATACCTGATTAGCTTGAATGTTTACCGGAACGTATCTATTTAGCTAAAATGTTAACCAGTTACTACCAGATTAGCTTATATGTTTACCAGAATTTATCCATTTAGCTTACATGTTAACCGGAACCAATTTGTTTAGCTAAAATGTTAACCGGTTGATACCTGATTAGCTTGAATGTTTACCGGAACGTATCTATTTAGCTAAAATGTTAACCAGTTACTACCAGATTAGCTTATATGTTTACCAGAATTTATCCATTTAGCTTACATGTTAACCGGAACCAATTTGTTTAGCTAAAATGTTAACCAGTTGATACCTGATTAGCTTGAATGTTTACCGGAACGTATCTATTTAGCTAAAATGTTAACCAGTTACTACCAGATTAGCTTATATGTTTACCAGAACCTATCCATTTAGCTTACATGTTAACCGGAATCACTTTGTTTAGCTAAAATGTTAACCGGTTGATACCTGATTAGCTTGAATGTTTACCGGAACGTATCTATTTAGCTAAAATGTTAACCAGTTACTACCAGATTAGCTTATATGTTTACCAGAACCTATCCATTTAGCTTACATGTTAACCGAAATTACTTTGTTTAGCTAAAATGTTAACCGGTTGATACCTGATTAGCTTAAATGTTTACCGGAACGTATCTATCTAGCTAAAATGTTAACAAGTTACCACCAGATTAGCTTATATGTTTACCAGAATTTATCCATTTAGCTTACATGTTAACCGGAATTACTTTGTTTAGTTAAAATGTTAACCGGTTGATACCTGATTAGCTTGAATGTTTACCGGAATGTATCTATCTAGCTAAAATGTTAACCAGTTACTACCAGATTAGCTTACATGTTTACTGAAATTTATCCATTTAGCTTACATGTTAACCAGAATTACTTTGTTTAGCTAAAATGTTAACCGGTTGGTACCTGATTAGCTTAAATGTTTACCAGAATGTATCTATCTAGCTAAAATGTATACCGGTTACTACCAGATTAGCTTACGTGCTTACCGGAATCCATCCATCTAGATAAAACGTTAACCGGAATCAAATTATTTAGCTATAATAGAAACTGGTTACTACCAGATTAGCTTATATTT